AAGGGAAAAAAAACAACACTTGATATTGTTGGTGGTATTGTAACCTAGAACAACCACCTTCTAAGGCCATTAGTCTTAGAAGGGGACTAGTCATATTAGGTTAGAGTCCACTCTAAAGAACTCATTTTAACATAATTACTTCTTTAACAGCCCTTTTTTTAGACATAGTCATTTTGAGGTTCTAAGGATTAGGATGTCAATTTATAAATTTTGGGTGGAACATAATTCAGTTCATAATAATGGTAATTTTGCAATTTTCCTTTTCAAAAATGTACATACCATATGTTCAGTTGAACTTTGTGAAAACAGTGAATAGCTTACATTACAGTAAGATACCTTCCTAATACATAACAGGTAGAAGGCAGAACAATAACCAGAGTCTCTTAATTTGAAGATCATTTTCTTTTGCACTCTTATGCTGCAAACTGAAGTAGAACTCAACATTTAGATTGAGTTTTTAATGTTTGGTTATAATAGATATGCATGTCTTAGACCTTGTTCTATCCACTTCTTTTAGGTTCCTAGTATACCTTCTTTAGTTGCATCTCCCTAACCGTACTTGTCTTCTTTTCCAGTTTCATTCTCAGCACAATATATCAGAGTCTAGAATGACTGGTGAAATATTTTAATAGATATATAATGCACTTTGCTATAGACTATTAAAATTGATTGATTCACTAACAGGGATCTAGACCAATAAATTACATTGTCTTATTTAAAAAAATAATTGTCTTAGTTTTAGTTTTTAAAATAAAACCTATTAAACAACTGTATTAAGGCTTGTGTCTAGAAGTTCCCCCACAGCCTCATGCAGTCATGGGTGGGGCTTTTCCAGAGGTGGCAGAATTTAGTTTGTGATGCTGGTTTTAAGATTGTGTGATTACAAAATTAGTCCACTGATTGGTTTGGCACAGTTCTGAGTAGGAATGGAGTGCCCCACCCTGAGTGTGAGTGTTATCCATCCTAACGGTAGGTAGCCTGGATAAGATATAAGTAACAAAAAGAGGGTCCGTTGCTTGTTGCTAGGTGCTTATTGTGCTGCTGCTTGCCTTCTGCTCTGCATTGCCCCTCTGCCATACCACTTGCCCTGGAGCCAGCCAATTGTAGACTGAAGCCTCTACAAATTGTCAGACAAAAAAACCATTTCATCCTTTACCTTTGCTTGTTGGGCATTTTGTTTCAGCAACCAAAAAAGTAAATAAGACAGTCTTAATATGGTTTTAAAAAGTATTGATTTAATATATAGGATATATAAAACATCTATAGCATTTAGGATATTTAATCTGAAAGCAAACACAAAATAGATACTACTGAGAAAAACTGATCTGTGTCTCAGTGTTACAATGCTAATATCACACCATATTTTGCACTTCATCAAGACACAAAAGTGTTTCTTATGGGTCATATGTCTGATAAGAAAGGCATTTAGACATTTCAGTAACTATTGACTATGATACAAGATAAACTTCAAATTCATTTTATTATAGAGCTAAAGAAGGCCTTCAGGCAAAGGTCATGTAGTTCTCCTATATGCAAGTCATAACTGTGCATACTCACAAAGACACACTTTACACTGCACCCCATACTTCAGTATCCAAACAGTTGTTTAGGTGCTGAAATAGAAAGGAAAAGTAATTTAAGAGGCAGAATATTCCATCCATCTTCAAGCTATTTAATTCTTTTTTTTTTTTTTTTTTTTTTTTTTTGTGGAACCGGAGATTGAACTCAGGCCCTTGCACTTGCCAGGGAAGTGCTTATTCCACTGAGCCATCCCCCTGACCCCTATTTAATTCTCCTGATGTCCTTCTCTTTCTTGAATTCAATGTTGACTCCCTGTAACTTCCCTTCCTTTGGTACTGATCATGCTTTTGACCTGTGATGTTCATCTGGTCTAGTGCTGAACATTTGGATTTCAGTACCAAAATGTCTCTCTTCACCTCTTATTAAGAATTTTTTTTGAGAAAGTTATGCGTCTCTCAGGCTCAGTTTTCTAATTTGAATAAAACAGTAACTACCTCATCAGATACATTGATATTCAGACATTCATGGGAAGAACATTTGATATCCCTAATTTAGTCCAATAAAAGATAGTTCTAGCGTCTTCTAATTCTATACCATCTCAAGTTCAGTACAACTTGTTTTAAAAATTTGTATCATTTTCTCTTACAACATTGAAACACTTTTCTTAACTGTTTAAAATTAAGTTACTTAAATGTATCGAGTGAGTTAGTTGAAATTTTAATTTCATAATTTTTAAATTTATATTCATAGGAAATTTTAAGATGATTATGTACCTAAAAATCTTTAGATGTGTAGATCTTCCTTTCTTATTTATTTATTTATTTACTTACTTACTTA